ATATATATCATTATTCACAGTAGAATTTCTTGGCAAAGACATTCTGATATTGGGATGAAGTGCATGAAATGTGATCCCCAGTGAAGTCTTCAAATCTAACGCCTTCCTCCACACCCCAAGCATCTGGCCCATGAATCCTGACCTCAAGACCTTTGGACAACCAGCGCTCTGCACAACACAGAAAGCCACGGCTGTGTGAGCATTTGAGTCTAGCAACAAACCCACAGTAGGGTCGTTTTTGAAAAACATTTGAAGCTCTTCATGAGTTTTCTCAAGGTCCTACCGTGACCCTTTCACACTCAAATATGATTCTCTCTGAAGAATCTATCACCCACTTTCCCCTCATTGTCCATTTCCATTTTAACTTTGCCACATCGTTGTCCCAGAGCTGTGTGAAACAGCAGCTTGCCCACACTCACTCACAGGACTCCACAAAGTGCCAGGGCTTCTGCAACACTGGTGTCTCCCTCTGTGATCAGCACTTATTGTGAGCTGGCTTTCTCCTGGGAGACCAGCATATTGGTGCATCGAACATGTTCCATAAAAAGAGATGCTTAGGTGGGGAATACCTTGCCTAGGTGGGCGCTGTCTTAGACATGATTCTCTCATTGATGAGACAAAATACTCAACACCCAAAATGAAGGGAGGAAAGGTTTATTTAGCTCACAGTTTGTAGAGGTTTCAGTCCGTAATCAACTGGCTCCAAGGCAGGGCGGCGCATGGCAGAGGGCAGCAGCTCAAGGCAGCAAAAGCAGCAAGAGCAAAATAGGAAGTCGGAGGAGCAAGCCTCTTTTCCTCCCCTATACTGTATGCAGGCACCACCCGAGGATGGGTCCCCCACCATCTCCGTGCCCTCCTCAGCACAGGCTCAGGACACTTAGCAGTTGAGGACCTCAACCCCCTGCTGAGTCGTTGAATTGAACTTCTAAGCTTGTCAAGTTGACGGAAGGAATCCGCCATCACAGATGCTGTGTTTGTGAATAAGCTTATGATGAGCAATCTCCGCTTCCCTCTTTCACCTTCAGAACCAGCGGGATTTGAGCTGCAGCCCTGAACACACCCGATGGCTGTCCCCTTAGACTGGGTTTACACCCTGGGGATGAGGGCACCAGGAACTGCTGCTGTGGCCCATCCACAGTTCACCCCCTGGGCCTCCAGGAGCTCCCCAAAGCCTCCCAGAGTACTGACCCGACAGACAGGGTTATTTCCTAGACATGGATCCCCAGGATCAAGTTTGTCCTACAAACTGGGCACCGGAAAAGATGAATCAAAGAAAAAGCCTGGGTGATGTTTCCTTTCCCATCCAACTCCTTCCTTAGAGCTCCCTTTGCTGGATTTTGGCCCCTTTGCTTTTCCCGCTGCCTCCATCCTGACTGCCTAGGAGGGTTACAAGCCTAGAAGCAGCTTCCTGTGGGGACAGCTGATTCCTACTGAAAGAACAGAGAAACAGGTATTGGCGTGTCCCTGAGCACTCTCAAGTCACAGAATATAAGCTCAATTTAAACTAGCACCATCATCAGCTTGGATGAGGCTAAAGTCCGCCTTCAGGCCCAGCCAGATCCGGATGCCCAAATGCTATCTCTGGGCATCTGCTTCCTGGATCTCCAGGATCTGCTTTCCTTCGGAACTGGTTCTCCATTGTGAGACTCCGCCCCCCCACCTCACCCCCAACTCCCAACCCCCAACCCCCAACCCCCTCCCGTATAGCAGCCAAGCACCCCAAAGGCTGCAGATCTGTTCTAATAGCTTCAGCAAAAGTCCCAGGGTGTATTCTAATTGGTCCAGCTTAGGTCACATGTCCATGCAGGAAGCCTAGCAGCCGGGAGAAATAGAAACCCAGGTAACTCTTCCTCCTAAGCACTCGCCACGTGGGGCCGGAGCTTCGGTTGCCGGTTGCCGAGGGATGTGCCGCCTCCTAATAAGTTACTAAAAACATTTCATCCGTTTGCTGATAGCCAGGACCATTGTTTCTATTTGCTCCGGTCTCTAAGTGTATCCAAATCTCAGTGAAAAGCAGTACTCTGGCATTTTTTAAAATATCTCCATGGGAAGGGCTGTGTGTGTGTGTGTGTGTGCGCGCGCGTTGCAGAGACTTTTGCTCTGCCTGTAGCACTCTTAGCGCTGACTCTGTCGGTCTCCAGCCAGGGGAGGAGGAGGAAAGAAAAACCGAGAGAAAGAGACGAGGCGGTGCTGGGGCTCAATGCGCGGCACTTCATCGCAGCCTCTCCTTCCCGCCCCGTGCCTGTTCCCGGCAGCGCCAGGCCGGGGTGCACTGGACTCCCCGCGGGCTCTCACGCCTACCCTTGCTCCACTGCCTGCCCGGCCTCCGCGCACCTCTCCCTCCCTCCCTCCCTCGTCTCCCCGCTCCTTTCCTGGGTGCATTTAGCAGCACTGCGAACCCGGGAGAAGAGGAGCCGGCGGAGGCAGGCGTGTGCCGGCAGTGGCCTTCCCAGGGGTCCGGCCCCTGAAGCCCCCCAGACTCTGGCCCCGGGGGGTAGAACTCTCCTGCTCCCCCAGGCCCAGTGAGGACGCAGCTGTCCCGCACCAGGAGCCGGCGAGGACTCGGCTCGCGGCCTCTTTATTCTTGGCTCGACGCACACGCGAGAGGCTGGCGTTGGACAAAACCGGCCACCGGCAGTGCAGGCACGCGTTCCCGGCCACACATTACTGCGCAATATAAACGGAACAAAGACATTTCAATTCCTCCTTTGTCTTTCTCTTCCCTGCCAGGCGGGATTAAGCAGCGTCTGGCTACAGTGCCTCAAGCATAAAGTCACAGAAGCAGAGGCAGGGAAAAAATCTTTTTAAAAATACCCTCACAGTAGCCGCAGATGTCAAGCGCTGGCTTGGCAAGACAGAGGGAAGGGTGTCATGCGGATTGTGCACGTGAGGTTTTCCCCTTTAGCGTGGGAACGGCCGCGAGGGAGCTACAAATATTTCCACTTCACAAATGAGGAAATGCAAAGATTTTTAGGGACTTTCCCAAAATCACACAGCTTATCAGTAGAGGATCTTGATCTTTAATTGTGATTCCAAAATTCTATGTGTTTTCCCCTTAAATATTTCGTGTGTGTGTGTTTGTGTGTGTGTAACTAAAGACTGAGAGAAGAGGACAGCTAAGCAAAGGCAGAAATTAAAGCTAAAGCAGGGGACCTGGGCAAGCACTCCCCTGGGAGAGGCAGATACCCCAGCCCCCATACCAGTAACTCCTCCTCCCTAACTCCACATCTGCTTTTCTGGACTTCAAAGGACAAAATTGCCAAGTATTGCTTTTTACAATCTTCAGTTCAAGGGCGGGCCAAATAGCTCAGCAGATTAAAGAGCCTGCAAGCAGGTGCAGGGGTTAGGGGTTCCATCCCCAGGCCTGCCCTGCCAGCCCCACCCCTGCGGCTTGCTGAGACTGCAATTGAGACTGGGCGTGGTGGCACCTGCCTGTAATCCCAGCTCTTGGGAGGCTGTAAACAGGCGGATCACTACAAATCCAATCTAGTAGTAAGACTCCTAAAATACAAAAAAATAAAAATCTTCAGTTCATGTAATGATCTATGCAATAAAGTGTTCTCATACAATACAGCATGAAGTTAGGAACCGTCTCTGCCTACACCAGGCTTGGCTACTTATCATGAGTTTGCTGGGCAACCAATGAGAAGGTGGGTGGACGTTCCTGGGTCTGTTTTTCTACTCATGAATGACGACACATAGTGACCATTATTCAGCACTCACTGTTCTATGGACTTCAAAATTATTTACCCATGTAATCTTCAGAACAAAACTATGAGACAGATTTATCACGTTTCCAGAAAGCTGAAGCAGAGAAAAATTAAACAACTTGGAGTCAAGTCAATATTCTAATCCAACAGTTCTCAATCATGAATGACCTTTGTCCCCCCGGGAGGATCTGGTGAGGCCCACAGAGTCGTTTCACTGTCCCAACAGGGGTGCTGGTCCTCGCCTCCTGAGGTCCTGTAATTCACAGGACAGATTCCCATCATAGAGACTGACCTGGCGCCAAATGTCAGTGGCACCAACGGTGACCTTGTTCCCGCTCCTGAGCCCACCCCTCAGCTACTGCACCATCTCCCCACTGGAACGGTGACAGTGTGCTCCCCTCCAGTCCTTACAAAGACTAAGCCTTTGCATCCCGGTTCCGGCCCTGGTGGCCGCTGGCTTCCCAGGAGTTGGCTCTTTCTCCTCCCCAGCCTCCCCTTCCTTCTCTTCTCCCGGGAAAGCATGTCTCCCGGGCTGACTCAAATAGCCCGGCCCGGCTTGCATCCTGGCCTGTGTGGATCAGATGTTCTGAGTCCATTATTCCTCTTGGAGTTTCCTGGTGTGTTGAATAACCTGTTTATGTTTGTGTTTACAGTGGATCTGGGAATAAGCATCCAGAAGGGTAATGCGGCCACTTCTTCCCCCAAGACAATGGAGATCAGCACGGTGGCCAATGCCAGCGGAAAGAATCTTGGGAAGGAGGCCAACCCCGAGGCACCAGCTGCTAAATCCCGTTTTTTCTTGACACTCTCTCGGCCTGTACCAGGACGTACCGGAGACCAAGGCACAGATTCATACGCCGGAGCAGCGGAGCTTGATGAGAGCTTCCACTCAGCTCCAGCGAACAAAGGCCCGAGTGACAGCCCTGCCCTTCGCGCAGCAGCTGCACCCGGGCCTGCCGCGGATAAAATCCCCGTGCTGAGTCAGGCGGGGGACGACGCCCTCCCAGCCACCTACGTACAGCCGCCTCTCCCACCTGAGTCCGAGGGTGTGGCCCCCTCCAAGCCCAAGGACTCCAGCTTTTTTGACAAATTCTTCAAACTGGACAAAGGACGGGGAAAAGCAACAGCTGAAGAGGAGCAGGAAGCCGAGGAGCCCCAGCATCAGGACCAGGCTGAGGAGGTCCCGGGGCTGTCGGGGGTGTCCCACAGTGTCCCCACAGCGGAGGTAAGTGCGCAGAGCTGCCGTCCGGTCCATCCCAAGGTCGCACCAGGGGCCCAGGTGGGGTAAGACCACCACAGGCGCGGAGCCCGGGGTCACCCAAGGTTCCGAGGAGGTACCCAGCCCTGACACCCCTAGAACAAGTCACAGCCACCTAGCGTCTCCCCTGTGTCCCTGCGGGCTGAAACATCTGCGTGACCAATCACCTCCGTGGCACAGGTTTTATGTCAAAGGAAATCGGAGCTGAGCTACACACAGATGGATCCATTTATCAAGGCTAAGATAGGTTACGTTTCTGATCAGCGGAGGCTGGGCTACAAGGTATTAGGGAAAGGCATTGGTCCTAAAAGACTTAAGACCCCAGACCAATCTCAGCAGATTGTTTAACTAACCACGTGTCAGGGGTTTTGTTGGGAACACATGTTCCTCACTTGTGGCAGCCGGGTGATCTTTCTTTTTTGCATGAAATATGCAGGTTTTCAGATCTAGGTTTGCTACTTCCTATACTCATTATTTTCCAACAAGCTAGAACAGTACTTACTCAAAACCTCACTTTTCTTTCAAAGAGGCATCTTGAATTGAATTGGTTGGTTTCTTTCTTAAGCAAAGAAAAAAGCAAGCTTTTCTGATATTTAAAAAAAAAAAATTAACCTTGAGAAAGCTTATCAATGTCCTTGAATAGAGAAAGATAGAAACCGAGGCATGACATGTGAAGGCGCTTGTTTTGTTATCAGACTTCGAAATGACAATGTTTTTCAAAATTTAGGAATAAAGAGGAGGGCCACTAAGTTAAGTATTCAAAAGGAGGAAAAATGATTTGGGGCTGAGGTTTGTACAATGTGGTTGCTTATTGCTGTTGATGATGGGTTTGTCGAAAGAGCGTGCCCAAGCGCTGCTGAGATGCCGACGACAATAGTGGGTGTCGCTTACTGAGTGTTCAGCATAGACCAGGTTCCACTGTAAGCACCAAATATATGGTAATTTACCTGGTGAAAATGACTGTCACATTAACCTGGGACTTTCATGTACCCAGCGTGGCATCAAGAACTATACAGTGACTGCAGGCAGTTGCAACAGAGCCAGGATAGTCGCATGTGTTGAAGTTGTCACTGTCACCACTCTTGCTATTATTTCTATCAGTTTTGACTCAAAGCGTTTATTTTCCAAATTTCTTTCAGAAGGTTAAAAAGCGTCCCTGCTCCCCCTGCAAATGCCACATCCCAAATTGTACCAATTTAAGGAGGCCATGAAAGAGTTTTGTAGAATTCAAAAGTACAGTTTTCAAATGCATCCACGCATCAGCTCTTTCTGGCGCAGGCCTGGGCCAGGCACAGGTGACAGATGGCGACATGTGGCGGACAGGACACAGAGCCTCTGCCCTCGTGGCATGGGCTGTCCAGTGAAGGGCGGTGAATGCACATAGCTGGGGCTGCAATTCAGGGTGCCCCGAGCTCCGCTCAGGAGGCAGAGTGTCGGGGGAGTCTGGGGAGGTCGCCTGGCCGGTCACATCTCATCATATGGAAAAACCAGGGGCCTCAGAGTCTTGTCGGGAGAACATCAAGCACTCATCGGTCCTCATGCCTATCTGAGAGCCTGTTACTACTGTTCTCTAAGTAAAGAAGACACTGTTGAGTTTTAATTACTGGCCATGGGCTCCTAAAGCTATTCAGAGGTAGTGATTTTTTAAATAGTCAACCCTTCTTTGGCCCGGCCATCCCAAGCCAACCCATTGCCTGGGTTAGGAAAGGACGGAGTTCTTCACAGGAACAGGAGGAGGGAGGGATGCACTTCACCAGTCTTCATACTGTTGCCTGGTGTCTCTTCCAAATCCCAACCCTAATCAAGCAAACCAGTTCAGCACTTGAGAGCCCATCCTGGACCCCGCTTGACCCTGAAGTCCCCAGCACCCTCCATCCATTTCTAGTCTAAGAAAAGGGAGGGAAATATTTAGAGTTGTGATTTCTTAGATCAGCTTCTTTTACTGGGGTTGGGGGCGGGGAGGGGAAGTCCCTCAGGGTGAGCAGCTCAGTTTGGGTGGAAGGGGCTGCAAGGTGAGAGGTGTCTCTAAAGGTGGCTCTTTTTTTTTATTAACAAAGTTTTAATTTATTTTATTTAATTTATTTAGGAAGGGTTTACAGGATGTTAAGGGTCTCACTACTAGATCGGACTCCTGGTGATATGCCTGTTTCCCAGTCTCAATTGCCATCTCAGTGCACCCCAGGGGTAGGGCCAGCACGGTAGGGGTCGAACCCCCAGCCCCTGTGCCTGCTTGCAGGGGCTTTAATCTGCTGAGCTATTTGGCCGGCCCTAGAAGGTGGCTCTTATATGAGAAATAAGACAGGTATCTAACACGGCTGAGCCCCTACTTTTTTTTTCTTGCAGTATTGAGGATCGAACCAGGTACCTGGTGCTTGCCAAGCAGGTGCTTATACCACTGAGCTATCTCCCCAGGCCACTGGGACTGATACTTTAAAGTCTCTCAAAGTACCCCAGAATTCTTCCTTTTTGCATATGTGGGCCTGACCCCTCACACTAACTAACGAAATCCGCGTCTGATTTTGCTATGCTGCAAATTTCCATTTTTAGTTGGTGATATCATTGGAAGGTGGAACACAATGCCCACCCTCAGCTGTGGACCTATAAAACACCTAAAAAGCTATGAAACACCGCTTCTCCTTCAGCCTGTGCGTTTGCAGCTATTTGCATGCATACATTTGGTAGGGTTTTTAATATAAAAAGTACACCTCTGATTTTCGAAGCTTCCTCATCAGAACCCTGGCTGCGCCGTTCTGTATTTGGAGATAAAACCAATTGTTCCGTGAGTGTGAGGAGACAATGCAGTCCTCAGAAAGCCACATGAATAAAACTTCTCAATCAATGGCTTTCTTGGTGGGAGGACCACATTATGCATAGATGGATGTCAATGTATCGATTCAGAATTCTTAGGGTAAATTATGCCTTGGGCCCAACGGTCAGCTGTCTGTCCTCTCCGCCCCACTCTCACTGCCCCCCTCTCTCCTTGGATTGGGATTCCACCCACAAAACCACAGAGTCGTGAATTAGGAGAGAGATGCCACCATTTCATTCTGGGGGAAACACACAAATCTTCTGTGTTTTCAGAATGACAATCTTATTTTTGTGCCTCATAAAACTACATTCAGAGCATAGCATAATTAAAACAAGGCAAGAATTCACCAACAAATGGAGCATTTACTACACAGGCCAAAGAAAAGATAAATTATAAGCCTGAAAGGTTTTACTGAGCTGTGACTCACACTAATCATCCAAACGAGGTTCTAAAATGTGCATCTCAATGACGCCTCACACACACTGACCCAAGTGACCGTATCGTGGAAATCTTATCTCTAATTTAGAACTCTCTTATTTTCTTATAAAAGAAAAAAGGAAAAAAAGCACACTAAGTGTCTGTTACCTACGCACTTTTCCCAGAGGGTCCCGTTGGAGGTGGGGAAGGGTGCTGTCCATTAATAGAACAACGCTTCTTTTCTCTTCAAAATTTAGTGAAGTCCTGCACGTCCCCACCCCGTCCCCCTTCCCTGGCTTTCCCTCGCCTGCCTGTTCCACGCGTCTGCTTGAATTTCCACGCCTCCACGAGCGTACTCACTCAGCGCGTCTGCATCCTGGTACCCAAAACTCTGCAGGGATCACCCAGCTCCCGCTCCTCCTCCCGCTTAGCCCCAGGCTTCCGCAGCTCAGTGACCGGCTAAGCTGTGTCCCGCCTGCCCTACAGCGGCCGCACTGCAGTCAGCCAGCCGTGGCCTCAAGAGTGCTTATCTACGTGGAATTAAGTAGTGGATTCGAACCTCAGCCCTGCAGTCAAGAAGGCTAGGTCTACAGGCGGCCTCTGGCCCCGAACTGGCTGTGTAGCTTTGAGCAAGCTATTTAACCTCTCTGAGCCTCATCTTCCTCATTGTCAGTGTGAGCGTTTAAATCTAAAATGTGCCCTGGAAGTCCCATGTGTTTGGAGGGGGACTAGGTCGCTGGGACCCTGCGCTCGCAGTGCACCCAGCACCACCGTCAGGAGGCGGGGCCTGGGTGGCAGGGCGGGGCCTGGGGCGGGGCCTGGGAGGTGGGCGGGGCCTGGGAGCAAGTTTGTGTCCACGGCCCCACCCGCCGGCTCGCGCTGCTTCCTGCAGCGTGGCTTGAACCTGGAGCCTGCTGAGCACGTACCGAACCCACAGAACCCGCAAAGCAAAGGAAACCTGGCCGGCTTCTAATCGCAAGTGTCAGGAATTCTTTCCCCAGGCTGGGAAAGTGACTAATACAGCTACGTAAGAATAGTTATAGCATTAGCACAATTCACATTATTCCCACTTGTGAAAATTAAATTAGTTAAGTCATGTGAAATAGTCAGCACGCAGAAACTGCTCTTTGGGGGAAGAAAAAGTGCCGGCTGTATTTAGTCCCCTGGATTTGCCTCCTGCATACTGCTCCAATTTCAGTCTTGTTTTCTTCCTAACCGTGGCTGGGAAAGATACGGCATCATTAAATCCGCCAGGAGGCGCAAGTGTAACTTGGGGGAAAGGGTGGAGAAGTTGTAATTCTATCGGAATTTCCCTTTGCGTGCTCTCGAGCCTGCTTCCTGAGTCGGACCCTCCGCGGTTGCTGCCGTCCGCCTGCGCCTCTTCCTAGAGCCGCTTTTTCCACCAAGCCCCGAGATTTCTCCCTTCGCGCTGGCCGCAGTGCGACCGAGGCAGATGATGCAGCTGCCAGTGGCTCAAAGTATTTTCTCTGCCTTTATCTCTTTTTCTGTTTATCCAGAACTTTAGCCAAGTGTTATGGTATAGGCCTGTAATCCCAGCTACTTGGATGGCAGAAGCAAGAGATTGAAAGTTCAAGGCCACTCTGGAAAGTTCAGCAACACTCTCAAAAATAAAAAAAAAAAAAAAAAGAGGGGCCGGGGAGATAGCTCAGTAGCCTGGCAGGCGCCAGGTCCTGAGTTCAGTCCCAGATACCGCAAAAATAAGCAAATAAATAAAATGTAA